AAATTTCCCTCAATACAAAAGAGGAAAAACAAATTATGGTATGCTTATTTTACATAATATTCTTTTAGAAAGAAAATAATTTCCAGGTTAGATTAGATTTTATCATTGCCACAAATTTAGTGGCTTAAAACAACATAGGTTTATTACTTCACAGTTTCGGTAAGCCAGAAACATAGGCAACGTAGCCAGGTTCTGTGCTCAGGAACTCATTAGGCTGAAATCAGGTTGTTAGCCAGGCCAAATTTTCATCTGGAGGCCCAAATAGTGAAGGATGTCCTTCCAATCTCCCTCATATTGTAGCAAAATTTCTTTTCTTGTGGAGGTTTGTCTTTTCAAAGCCAGCAAGAGTGACAGTGTTCCTATTGCTTTGACTCTCTGATCTCTAGACCACCTTTGAAGAGGCTCACTTGATTAGGTCAGGCCATTGGCAGGATGTTCTCTCTTTTGATTATCTTAAGTCCATTGATTAGGAACCTTAATTACATCCATAGAAGTCTTTGAGTGTTGTCAAATAAAATACTGTAATCACAGGAGTGACATCCCATTACATTTGCCATATTATCTTGATTAGAAAGTAGCTGTAGATCCACCCACACCCCAGGGGAGGGGAATATACAAAGGCATTGCAGAGGCAGAAGTCATGGGGACCATTTCAGAATCCTGCTTATTACATGGGTACATGCAATAACGTGGATGTTTCTCATAAACATGTTTTCAGAGAAATGATATAAAGTCATGCATGTTATATTGTTTTATATGTAAAAATAGAAAAGCCAAAAACTAGGCAAAATTGGCTCTACTTGTGGGAAAGATAGAGTGAGCACGATTTATCCTGTGTCCCATGGAATGCCAGTATAACAGCTGGGCAGAATGTATAGAGCAGTTATTTGAGGAACATGAAAGTTAATAGCAGTAGGTTGATTGAAGGAAAAAATCACATTTGAAAGAACCACGAAAGAGGTAGTATGTGTATCAGTTTTCTCTCCTGTGATATAACCTGGCCTGGACCCAATGCAGCTAAAAACTCAGAAGTGAACATAGTCATCTGTAGAGAGATGTCCAGAAGAAGCCCTTTATTTCTGGTACAAGTAGTGGGAACAGGGTTTCCTACTGCTCAGTGAGAGAGATAAATGTCAGCTTTTTCTTTCCTTTATTTTATTTTTTATTTTTTGGCAGCTGGCCAGTACAGGGATCGGAACCCTTGAATTCGGTGTTATATATAACACCATGCTCTAACTAACTGAGCTAAATGGACAGCCTGTTGCCTTTATTTATTTGTCAGTAGCCTCTGGGCAATCCTGTAGGAGTAGTCAGACATACCATGGACCTTGAAAACTGGGCTATGAAATAGATGACCTTCAATGTAGTCTTGCCTCTAGGTAGAGACACAAATAGTACTGCAAAGCCTTTGAACACACACAGAACTCACATTGAAACCACACCTCACAGAATACTGATTAAAACTTGCAAGTTGAACCTAACTGGGTCATAGTAGAGACACAAATAGTACTGCAAAGCCTTTGAACACACACAGAACTCGCATTGAAACCACACCTCACAGAATACTGATTAAAACTTGCAAGTTGAACCTAACTGGGTCATTTGCCTGGTAAAACAAAATATCTGGATTCTCCAGAGGATTTAAAGACCCCAGGGATGGCCGCCAACTGGTTCAGATCCTTGTACTGACCAGCCACACACAAAAAAAATATTTAAAAAATAATCAAGAAATTATTGGCAAATCATATTTGTGATAAAAAAGCTTGCATACAGAATATATGAAAAACACTCAGACCTCAACAATAAAGAGATTAAACAACCCAATCTTAAAAGGGACAAATGATTTGAACATCTCCAAAGAATATATACAGCTGACCAAAAAGCACATGAAAAGATGCTCAATATCACTTCATTAGGGCAATGCCAATGAAAATCATAATATCCCTTCACACCACTGGAGTGGCTATAATGAAAAAGACAGAAAATAACAAGTGTTAGCAAAAACATGAAGAAATTGAAACCCTCCCACATTTCTGGTGGGAATGTAAAATGGTGCAGCCCCTTTGCAAAACAGTCTGGTAGTTCCTAAAAATGTTAAATGTCGGGCCTCCCTGAGCCAGAGGCCGACAAAACCGAGCGGGAAGAGACCTCGGTCCAACCGGGGGTCCCTTGTGGGGCTGAGCGGGATGATGAGTGTCGCTGGCACGGCCCTTCCCCCCCCAGGACCTTCCTCCCCGGGGGCCGAGAAAGAACACCACCGAGCCAGGAGAGTGGTCAAAGCCGGAACTCCGTTTATTTGCAGGGCGGCACAGCTTATATAGGGAAAAAGGGCAGGGCGGGTTTTGATATGAGAGATCAAGCAAAGAGCCAATAAGAAGGGCTTAAAAGGATAGGGTGAGGTGGTGGGGAGGCTTTACGCGAATACGGAACTAAAGTTGCTGAATCACTGCGACCCGGAAGGGCGAGGCTGGCAGCTACGTGCCATTGAGCGCTAGTGAAATGGTGGCCGCGGAGCGCATGAACTGGCACCCGTGCGCGTCAGGGCGCATGCGCGCAAAGTTATGCCCAACATCTCCCCCTTTTGTTTTTGTATGCCGGGGTGGGACCTCTGTCTTAGGTTGTCCAGGTTTGTCTGGATCTTACCCGTCATTGAGCATCACACAGCTTGTGATAATTTTTTGGGTGTGGCCCCTGTCTTAGGTTGCCCTGGATTTGCCAGGGTCTTACCCGTCTTTGGGAGCTCACACAGCCTGATGGGGAGACTTAGTCGTAACTTTGGGGATCTTGAGGGGCCAAGCGCTGATAATGAACTTGTACATTCATAAGTTGAATGGTTTCAAGCCTCTTTTGTACAAACTGAATAAGTTTGTTAAGAATACAGGGTCCCAGAGTGACTACCATTAGAAGTAAAAGGAGGGGACCGAGGAAGGGTAAGAGATAGGGGAGGAAGCCCATTGAAGCCCGTCCAAAAGAAGCTATTTTGGAGATCTTGTCGTCTTTTTTCCAAGTCTTCTTGAAGTTTCTTGATTTTGTCTTGGACGATGCCCGAGCGATTTGCGTAGAAGCAGCATTCTTCCTGTAAAAACAAGCACAAGCCTCCTTTTTCGGCAGTTAGTAGGTCTAACCCTCTTCTATTTTGCAGTACTACCCCTGCTAAGGAGTCTAACTGGGACTGAAGATCTAAAATAGTATTGGCGATTGTTTGCATATCACTGATTAATTCCCGTGTATTTTTAGCCTGTTGCTATTCTTGTGTGTGCTTCTCTGTGAAAGCAGCACACTGGCTCTGAACCCCAGTGGGGAGAGCTCACATCTAAAAATAGAGCATGTTGGGCCGGCCCGGTGGCGCACTGGATAGTGCGCCCAGTTTTTCTTTGGACTTTGCCAGCAGCTGCTCAGTTTCTTTTTTCACTGCCTAGCTCTTAAGTGTGTGTGCTGAATAAAGCTTATTACTACTTCAACCACAGCTCCAAGGACCTTTTTCCTGTTACCTAACTCGTAGACCTGCGTGTGAAGGGTTTGTGACCCAGTTTGGACAATGGGCTCAACAGGTCTGTGAGCTCCAGACTCAGCCCTAGCTCTACAATATACTAAAAAAGATTAAATTGTATAGCATAATTGATTAGTTGTATACTATTTGAAATATACCTTGATAAAGCTGTTCCAAAAAACAGAAGAGAAAATCATGACAGTACCAACATCATTGTGACCACTAAAAATTTAATGTCTGTGAAGTGTGTAGAGAAGTAATAGGCAAGAAACATTAGCTATGACTGCATTTTTCCTGCTAAATATTAAAACAACAATAAAAAATTAAAAATAAATAACTAAAATGACATAAAACTACTGAAATCAAAGGAGTATGACATTGATATTGGCATGAGGAAATATATTACTGACACAAAATGGTCTAGAAACTGACCCAAGGTCTGGGGTTCAATCCCTGTGCAGGCCAGCCCCCCACCCCCAGATAAAACAAAATAAAATATATAAATATATTAAAAAGTAATACATTTCAACAGAACATTTGGAAATCTGCAAGTATTCAAGTAATCCAAAGTGTGAGGAGACTTTTAGAGCAAGGCAGGAAACCCAGAAATTATTTAAAACAACAACAATAACAACAACAAATTCTTTTGGCTGAAAGTTAAATGCTTTTTACATCAAAACTTGAAATACTGGGCTGACCGGGTAGCTCACTGTGTTGTGAGGCACAGTTCCCAATAAGGCGGACACCACACAAAAATACTTGGGGGTTGTGGACGGTTTATTTTTCTTGCAGGCCGTCGGCTGTCTCCCCAGGCAGTCTGGATAGAGTGCAGCCCCCAGCCTCATTAGGGGAAAGTTTTTATAGGTATAAACCACATCCTGTTTGGCATACAGGATGCTCTGCAAGAGCAAGCAAGCTGGTTTACAGAAGCCAGGATAAGCAGGTTAAGCCATTTTTATTGGCTCCTCCGCTGGTCTCCGGGCAGAGTTTCCTAAATTGGGGGTCTTCTAATAGATAGTTAACTAGGTTACTGTGGCTGTGAGTTAAAACTAGGTAAAGAGGCCTTTTTGGGTAAGGGTCTTCATCACACCTGGGTGCAAAGGCAGGAAGTGTGGTTACTTGAGGAGGGGTCTGCTTTAGAGAGCAGCTATTTCCTACACAGGAAAGAGCTGGCAGTCTGCGGTTTTCTTGCTAACACAGGAACAGGCTTGTGACCACAGAGCTATAGAGTGTAGAAATGCATTTAGCTGTTTTTACAACTGGGACAAAGATGGAGTCCGTCATGTTAACTTGCAACAACTGGTTAGAGCATGGTGCTGATAACACCAAGGTCCAGGGTTCATCCCTGTACCCGGTCAGCTGCCACCGGCACCCCACCCCCCCCAAACTGGATATACTAACATGGCAACATAGTACTCCGCCCTGCACCCTGGGTGGTTTCTGCCTCTAGCCCCAGAACTGCGCAGACTCTGGAGCCCCGCCCAGCAGGAGATAGGAAGCGGAAGTGACGTCGGCGGCGCTCTGTCCTCTCCCGGGGCAGACTCTGTGCGCCTGGGAGCTCTTTCGCCTTCCTCTTCGTGGGTTCATAGGGCCTTTGTGAGTTTTTCGTGAAGGGGGCAGCTTGGGGGAGAAGGGGGATGTTGAAGGACGGGTGTGACCCGGGCCACCGAGGGGCCTCCCTAGAGAGGCCTGGCCCGCTCCGCTCGCGTCCGCGGGTCCTTCCGGCGCGGCCATGTCCGAGACGCCGCTCGAGCCTTCGTCCCCGCCGGGAGCCGGGTCGGGAGTGGAAGTGGCGCGTCCGCGGGGTGTTTTCATGCTCTGGGGTCTTCTTTTCAAAGGTCTCCAGAGTAACCTTTGTGATTTTATCCAGCAGGGAGAGAGAATTTGCGCCGTTCGAGTCATCTTGACTCCGTCCCAGGAGTCCTCCCGCTTCTAGGACTTGGCGATTCCTGAGAGTTCCGGTGAGCTCTGGAGCAGAGTTGGTTCTAGAAGGGCCGCTTCCTTTCCTTTTTAAAATTTTCTTTCCTTTTCTTATGCAAATGAATATTTCATTTGAGAATCTGGCTTTGTGTGTCTTATTTTATTTTTGACCGTTACTTTGAGGTAGAAATTATAAAGGTACTTTCTTAGGTGTCCAGGACGTGCATAGTTCTGTATGTGAATATAAACGTTCGTGGGTCGCAAGTCTTTCCATTAAAGAAAACTGAGAATATTTAGCCGTTCTCTTTACCTGAAGTACATCCCCATGCGGCTTAAAAACAAGGTCCTCCAGGAAGAAAGAATGGAGGCTTTATGACACGTCCTAGAGTAATTGAATTTGCCGTTAACAGGATTGTTGGACTAAGCGTACTTTCCCCCACATTTTCATTTTGAAAAACCTTAAATGTGTTGGTGACTGGAACATCCACTACCCGTTATAGTAGATTCACCAATTTTTACCACTTTGCATGTTTGCTCTCTCCCCAGATGATAAATATATTTTACAGTGAATTATTTGATAGTGAGTAAATTGAAAATACATAGTAGACGTGATATTTGACCTTTAATACATTTCTTAGAGTTAAGGATATTGTCCTACCAAAAGCAAAATACTACTAGGCAACCAACGGAATAAAAAACAGTAACATCATGCAGTATCTACTCTAACAAAAACGAAGTTCTCTTCGTTGTTCCAAAACAGGATTTGGGGTGTTCTGGGCTCTAAGATCCATTCGAGCTTTCTGCATTGCATTTGTTTACCTATTTCAATCTCTTTGTTCCAGCTGTAGTTGCTGTTTTTCTTCCATTAAGTTCACTTTCTGCAGAGCCCACATATTGTTTTAGAAAGTGACATGTTGTAGTGTTTCTGATTGTATTGTCATGATATGTTTAAATAATTCCTCTATTTCTTGTGTTTCCTGTAAAGTGATAATTGTGTTCAGAGGAGAGGTTAGTACACGTTTTGTCTGAAAATGTTCAGATAGAAAGTGGTTTGCTTTGTGGTCAGTAAAGTCTGGAATTAATCTGCTCTGTCTTTATAGTGGGCAAGCAGTCATAGAGTGTAGTAAACCAATGGGCATGGCTTTGTTCTCTTAAAACCGTATTTACGAAAACAGGCCTGTGAGCCATGATTTTCCAACACCTAGTCTGGAAGCTGCAACACATCATTTGCAAAATATTTTGTAGGTGATAATGTGTACTTCCAATTTCACTTTATCAGGAAGATGTACATTTCTATTGTCAGTATAGTGATACTGAGTTTGATAGTTGCTTAAGGTAGTGATCATCAGAGCACTCTGTTTTAAAAGTAGACTTTCCCTTTTGAATAAGGAAGTAATTTGCAGGTTGATATATATTGTCCCCCAGCAACCTTTCTACTCATTTGTTTTTAGCATACTGAGTAACCTGCAGCGAATAAACTTCTCTATGTGTTTTTTTCACATGTGGAGGTGCATTTTCAGCTTAGGCTTTTAAGGTTGGATGTCAGGGTCAAAGAGCAAATGTACATGTAATTTTGCCATATATTAAATTTTTTGCCTTCTCCAGATCTTGTACCATTTGGCACTTTCTGAATCAACTTTTGTTAACCTCGTTCAGAAATTATTCTGCAGAAAAATAAGGAACAGATTTCAGTTTTAAGTACAAGACACTTGTTTTCAAAAAGAGTATCAATACCTTGTCTATGATCATGGTTAGTAAGAATACTCGAATATACAGTCCAGTGTTTTGGTTAATGTTTTAGTGAGGGGAGACATTTTATCTGAGTGTTATGTAATTTTTGCTTTGTAATTCTGTTTTTGCATGCCTTCTATTTGTGCTTAGTTATACTATAACATTTTTGTGGGGAATGGATATTGTATGACAATTCACAAATCATTAAATTCCTTAAATTTAGTGACTTTCTGCCAGGGGATAGGGAAACAATGACTATCCAAACACATCGTGCTCTCCCCATGGCACTTAACAGTCTGTTTAGGAGGACAGATTTTAAATGAGTATTTGCTACATTAAATTCCTTAAATTTAGTGACTTTCTGCCAGGGGATAGGGAAACAATGACTATCCAAACACATCATGCTCTCCCCATGGCACTTAACAGTCTGTTTAGGAGGACAGATTTTAAATGAGTATTTGCTAGTTTGTTATATGGATTTAAGAATGCTTAAAAAAAAAAAAAGGGCCGGCCCAGTAGCGCACTGCTACAGTGCGCTGCTTGGGAAGTGCGGCGGCGCTCCTGCTGAGGGTTCGGATCCCACATACAGACCGGTTCCTGCTCACTGGCTGAGCGAGGTGCGGAGGCAACATCGAGGGTTACGATCCTGTTGCCGGTCCCGGTCCGGTACGGGCGCGACACTGAGGGTTGCTATCCGTTGCCGGACACGAAAAAAAAAAAAAGAATGCTTTAATAACAGAGACTAGGACATACTGGGAGGAATTGATACTTAAATTGAGAGTGAAAGCACAAGTAGGATTTAACTAGTTAGGTCTCTGAACTAGAGTGAGGAGGTGTACAGTAGGAAAGAACATTTCAGTTAAGGTAATATCCTGAGCGAAATCCCAGAATATTTAGTATATTATTTCTTTTCTTTGTTGCTGGCTGGTATGGGGATCTGAATCCTTGACCTTGGTGTTATAACACCTTGCTCTAACCAACTGAGCCAGATGAACAGCCCCAGGGCTTCGTATATTTCTTCGCATATTTCTTGAACTCAGGGAAGGGAGTTAGCTGAAGCAAAGCAGGGAGAGAGAGGGGTGCGAGGTAGATTGGAGATCAGGGTTAGAACATGGGGAATGACGTACTCTGGATTATATTCTAGGGCTGTGGGAATCTTCTGAAATGTTATTAGTAAGGGAGTGGTTTGAATCTATTTCAAACTTAAAGCCACTAATTCCTAGTTTGAAAATGGAGTTTAGGAAAGATGAGAGAGATGGCACAGAGTCAGGATAGAAGCTTATAATGATTAAGTTTTGAAACACAGTTGTTCCTGCCTAGACTTAAGTTGTTATGGAAAAGAAAATAAATGAAATAGTCTCAGAGTTCTGAAGAAGGTAAAATGCAGAGAATCTAGTCATTTATTAGAGGATACAGTGCTCTTAATAATTGCTTGAATGGTTGGCTAAGGTATAGTGAAAAAAACTCAGCCTAGAGCTGTTAGGAAACTTGTAAACTAGTGGACGAGGCTAATGTGTACCAACCAAATAAATGTATTATTACAATTGATGAGGGCTCTGGAAGTAAAGTAGACAGCAGTATTATTTTCTTTATCTTTATTTGGGAGTAGGTGATGCTAAGAAAAGAGAGCAATATTTAAGCAGAGACCAAAACAAGAAGGTGTTGGAGTTAACCATGTTGAAAGGGAAAGGACTAGGAGGCAGGGGAAGCAAATGGGCTGATTCCATTTCTAGGGGGAGAGAGGGGAGTGCTTCAAGAGTTTCCCCCAGGTTTGACACTAAAGTCATTTTTCTATGTTTGAGAAAAAAGCTGAGGAAAGAAACTATTTAATGTGTAACTGATAGGAAAGCTAAGTAATATCTACTTGAGAAAAAATATAGGGAGAAAGCATGAATGTGTTTTAATTTTATGAATAAGAAAGTACTTGAAGAAATTAATCAGAATCATGGGTGAGCAGTGGAAAATAAGTTCTCCGTGAAAATGTACTTACTTTTTTTGTTGGTTTTTAACAAAATTATTTTTGTTGAATCATAATTGATTATATATATTTGGGGGATTCATTGTTGACATATGTTGATCAAATCAATATTACTGATATGTATATTGTTACAGATTGTACTTATTCTTTATGCCCCTTGTCCATTCTCTCCCCATCCCCCTCTCCTGCCCCTCTCCCACCACTGGTAACCCTAGATTTCTTCTCTCCCTCTGAAAGAGTAATGGTTATTCTGTTGATTTGTTGCCGAGATGATCTGTCCAATGCTGAGAGGTGTGTTCAGGTCCCCCAATATTATCATAGAGCAGATGATGATGCTTTCACTCTGGAATGGGCTTTGTGGAGAGAGACATTCTCTGGTCTCTGCTGGTGACTCTCCTTGTGTCAGTGCACTCCAGTGGCTGGCACACCATCTGCTTGGTGGTTGTGATGTCTAGCCACTTTCGTGGCAGCTGTGGTGGCTGTGGTGGGCCACCCACATGGGATGTGATGGTTGTGGTATGCTCCTTGGCGCTAGTGGTGTGCCTGGTTGTGGGTGGGGGTGGGGGTCCAGTCCCCGGCTCGATGCCCTAGGTCCCAGGGTAGGCCCCAGGGTGCTGGCAGTGTGCCAAATGTACTTATGTTAATTATCAATCTTAACAAATGTTTGTGTCCATAGACAGAGAGCCAAAACCTCTTTGGGTGGTTTTGCACTCCAATTGGGGTTCCTTCTGCCACCCAAACTAGTCCTTTGGTTCCCAGAAGGAATGTCCAGAGTGACCACTTCTGTGGGATTCCTTAGAGACACTCACACATCTACAGGTTGGAATCACTCCATGGGTTGCCAGTGGGGGCTGTTAGAAAGTTCTGAAAGGGCCGTGTGGCTTGGTCATAGTATTACTTTCTCTGTTTGCCACTTAGAGGTCCCAGTGAGGTAGCTCAACATAGTGAAACAATTGGTGAGAGTTCTGAAGATAAGTTTGGTAAGGATGTGCATATACTGCTGGTTTTGGAGTTTATTGGAGAAACAATTTCAAAAACTATTAGCAGTATATACTAAATTTGTGCAAATGCAGACTCTATAACACAACAGTAATGTGTGCACATGTGTATCAAGATGAAAGCAAATAATTTTTTTTTTTTTTAAAGATGACCGGTAGGGCTGGCCCGGTGGCGCACTGGAGAGTGCGCCGCTTGGGAGTGCGGCAGTGCTCCCGCCGAGGGTTCAGATCCCATGTGGAGACCGGTTCCTGCTCACTGGCTGAGTGCTGTGCGGGCGCAACACTGAGGGTTGCGATCCCGTTATCGGTTAGTAAAAAAGACAAAAAGGAAAAAAAAAAAAGATGATCGGTAAGGGGACCTTAACCCTTGACTTGGTGTTGTCAGCGCCATGCTCTCCCAAGTGAGAATCCCGTTATCGGTTAGTAAAAAAGACAAAAAGGAAAAAAAAAAAAAGATCGGTAAGGGGACCTTAACCCTTGACTTGGTGTTGTCAGCGCCATGCTCTCCCAAGTGAGCCACGGGGTGGCCCCCAAAGCAAATAATTTTCATATCAGTATTAATTGAAATAGCTCTATATTGGAAACAATTTAAAAAAAAATTTTTTTTTTTTTTTTTTCTGGCCAGACAGTACAGGGATCCAAACTCTTGTCCTTGGTGTCATTTTTAAAATTTTTTTTTTTTTTTTTCTGGCCAGACAGTACAGGGATCCAAACTCTTGTCCTTGGTGTCATAACACTACACTCTAACCACCCTAACTAACTGGCCAGCCCCTGGAAACAATTTAAAAGTGGATCAAGAGAAGAATGGGTAAGTTATGCATGTATAACATTGGAGAACTCTACAGCAAGGAGAAGGAACAAATCAGAAGTAGATGCAACAGTGTGGATGAACTTCACAAATATAATTCTGAGTGAATGAAGCCAGACAAAAAAGAAAGCCTGTTCCTCCCCAAGGCAGGGATTGAGACCTCCTTAGAAAAGATGTTTGTTATCTATTGCTTCCTAATAGATTACCATAAATTTAGGAGCTTAAAATGACGCATGCCTATATCTCACACTTTCTTTGTGTCAGGAGTCTAAACATGGCTTTGGTAGGTGTTCTGCTCAGGTTCTCACCAGGCTGCAGTCAAGGCATTAGTTAGGTTGCGTTTTCATCTGGCTTTCCAGGGATGTTTTACTAGGGAAGAATCTGTCTCCACACTCACTCAGGTAATTGGCAAAATCCATTTCCTTGCAGCTGTAAGACTTGTTATTTGCTGTCAGCTGGATGCTGACCACATCTCCTAGAAGCTACCTGCAGTTCTTGCCACATGGCACCTCCATTAAGCAAGTTAGAGCAGTTCCTGGACCTCAGGGAAGGCTTCAATTCCCTTTTAAGAAACTGCCACCTGATTAAGTCAGGTTTACCAAGATAATTCCTTATTGATGAACTCAAAACCAACTGATTTGAGACCTTAGTTATATCTGCAAAATAAATCCCTTCATGTTTGCCATATTTTAAAGGCTAGAAACGAATGAAAGATCTTGTGTACGCTTAAGAGAAGGGAATTATGCAAGTGCATGGATACCACAAGGTGGAGATCATTGGGGTTATATTAGGGTCTGTCGGCGGCAGTTGTAGCCCACTGGAGGGTGGAGAAGTTTGCTGGGTTACTCTGGGCCTGAGCTGGCCTACAATCATGAATCACACGACAGAACGCTCCAAGGTACAGGGCAGCTGCAGTTGGTGTCTGCAGAGAGTATTGGGACACCACTGTCAGCATGACACTTTGAATTCATGGTGTCTGCCTTGGGAGAGCTGTGACAAACACACCTCAGGGCACATGTGAACTGAGGCTGGTGGGCAGGTTCGTAGAAGCAGTTTGGACGCCTCTGTGGTCACAAGGCCTGGGACACTCAGTGTCCACATCTGGAAGGCTTTGGGGAACAAAACTCTGGGGCACAGGCTGATTGTGGGAGGGAGTTGGGCTGACATGCAGCATGCATCCTGGAGTGCAGGGTCTGTGTCATGAGGGAGAAGGGAAAGAAGCCATCAAGCTCGTTGGTGCATGTGTAGAGGGTGTTTCTCCTAGTGGGAGTTTCTGAGTATTCAGTGTCCATGTTATGGGTGCTACGTAAATGTGGTGAATGGGTAGGTTTCTGAGATGGCCTAAGGACTGAGTGTTATAGGCATATGGCATGGGCTGAGCAACACAAGATGTCCTCACCCCTATACCATTTACCCATCATCTGTCTAGTGCCCCATCTGCTGACAAAGCTTTTGTTCCATGTAAAAGGTAAATGCTTAAAGAATCTAGTCTTTAATTCCATAGCAGGTATTGAAAGTGAATTTGCAGGGCTGGCCGGTTAGCTCAGTTGGTTGTGGCACGGTGCTGATAACACCAAGGTCAGGATTTGGATCCCTGTACCAGCCAGCCACCAAAAAATAAAGTGAATTTGCAGCCAAAGTGAATAAAATGAAAACTGGTATAGTCTGTGATTGGTTGCTCACCATCCATATAAACCCCTCTACACATTTGAATTTTCTCATAATGATAAAACAGCTCTCTATTTCTACCTGACAAGGTACAGGGGAGAAGTTCTTGCCCTTTCAAAGTGAGAAGGTGCATAGTCCCCCTCACAGGCGATATTAAGTTCTCAAACTGAGTCACTTTCTCCCTGAATATTCTGTTACCTAAAATCTAAAACATAAATTTATTCTCAATAACTTGTATGTGAAATAAACATGGAAAGGAGATAGAAGTAAATGATTAGTTTATACAACTAAATATGGAAAGCGACTACAGTGTTTGTTTCTGTCATTGGTCTTCAGGTGGTAGTTTATGCACCTGGTTTACTCCTTCAGTGACCAGTTGCCTCTTTCTCTTGCACTCAGCCACATCCTCAGCTGCTGTGGGTTTCTACTGATGAAGTCACCCAAATCTTCATTCCTCAAGGGCGTAAGCCTTTTTTCAGTTGTAATTTTCCATTAACCTTTACTATGCAGCTTGAAAGTACTGGGATATCCTAGACTTGGTCCTCCCTGCCTCAATTGTGTATCAGTAACACACTTTCCCTTGGGTAATTGTGATCTGTTATTCCAGCCAGTAGATTAACCACTCCCTTTTTTTCCCCCTCTTAGTTTAGTGATATAAGATGCCCAAAACGGCCAACAGGAATTCTCACTTTCCAGTGTATTGGGACTACAACTGTGCCCCCTGGGGGAAGCACTCTTCATTAGGGACTAAGATCTCCAAACGTGCAGTGCTCTAAGTTGATGGGATTGGAAGCAAGAATTTTGTCAGTGGATCCATTTCCACATTCACCCTTCACCCTTCACCATCAGTTTCTGGACCCGTTTGTATGATTTGTCTATTTATAAAACAGAATGAGTGTTCCAGTGAGTCCAGGAGAGGACTTTGGCTTTATAGACAGAAAAAGGGCAGAAGAAAGCGGAAACAAAGAACAAAAAGCAGATTGTTCATTTCAGTGTTACTTTCCTTATAATGTGGCGCCAGGGAGACAGAACAATAGAAAAATAACTGATTAGTTAACATCAGGTTACTTCAGGTTATCCTTTTGTGTAAAGATTAAAACGAAGAGAACTTTATTATCTTGCCAATTAGAGATTGAAACCAGCCTGTTAGGGAAATTGGCTGTGATCTCTCTTTCCTGATAGTTTAGGTTTGGTAATATGGAACTTTATTTAGCATGGCAGGAGTTTAGTTGAGAACAATGACCTTCTATAATTTTTGCTTAACACTGCTAAAATTGTAAAATACTATAAGCAGTAATTGTTTTATAATTTTGGTATCTCCAAGGCCTAGCAAATGTGCAGCACAGACACTTGTTTAGTATAACTGAGCTGAGATAAAAAAGTAACTATATGGCAGAAAATCATAAGCAACAGAAATACAGACATCTGCTAATGTTATAGCTGTCTAAATCAGTCCTTGAATTTAAATAGAGGCAGAAGATGGGGAAAATGGGAGCAAATGATAAAAAAATAAAAAGATAGGAAAAGAAGGAGTTTTAAAACAGGTCAAGGAGACCAGTGGTAAGATGCAGAAAACCTGAAGGGGAAGCCAGGTATGCCTTGAGGAGTTAGAATTTTTATAAGTGCTTACGTAGAGGCGAGTTCTTTCTGCACCAAAAATTAAGGCTTCAGTGGATCTTAGATTTCTTATTAACCCCACTGTTCTGTGCCACACGATGTTTGAAGTAAAGAATGGCAAACATTGGAGGGTTTAAAAGACCTAAACAACAGAAACCATGCGATGAAGTGAGAACAGAAGTATTGAGATTAAATTACATATTTTTTTGTTTGTTTTTTTTTGGTTGTTTTTTTCTGATGACTGGTCAGTATAGGGATCAAACCCTAGACCTTGGTGTTATTAGTACCACGCTTTAACCAACTGAGCAACCAGCCATCCCAAATTGTATTTTCTTTTCTGCTTTTGTGACTCAGACCACTAATGTCCCACTAATGTCCCTTGATTTTCTGATAGTGGCCAACTTTTTTTTTTTTTTCCATTTTAACATTGATTTGTACATATTGGTGGGGTACAGTGGGTTGTTTCAATGCATGAATATAGTGTGCATTGATTCATTTAGGGTAGGTAGCATAGCTTTGTGCCGGTTATTCCACCACTTCCCCTCCCCACTGCCTCGCTCCTCTCCTGACCTCTAGTAACCACAATTCTAATCTCTAATTCTATGAGAACCACTTTTTTTTTAATTTTTTGGCGGCAGGCCCAGTAAGTGAGAACCACTTTTTTTTACATCCTATGTATGAGTGAGATCAGGTGATATTTGTCTTTCTGTGCCTAGATTTCACCTAACATAATGGTCTCCAGTTCCATCCATGTTGCTGTAAATGACAGGATTTCATTTTTTTTTAATAGCTGAATAGTATTCCATTGTGTATATAATATACCAGGGTTTTTTTTTATCCTTTCATCCATTGAAGGGCATTTAGGTTGATTCCATCTCTTGGCTGTTGTGAATAGTGTTGCAATGAACATGGGAGTGCAGGTGTCTTCAATATAGTCATTTCATTTCCTTTGGGTATATACCCAGAAGTGGGATTGTTGGGTCCTAAGGTCATTCTATTTTTAGTTCTCTGAGGAACGGGTACTGTTTTCTACAATGGTTGTACCAATTTGCATTCCCACCAACAGTATAGGAGAGTTCCCTTTTCTCTGCATTGCCAGCGTTTGTTATTTTCTGTCATTTTCATAATATCCATTCTAACTGCAGTGAGATAATGTCTCATTTAATTTGCATTTCCCTAGTGACTAGTGATGTTGAGCATTTTATTCATGTGCCTATTGGCCTTTTGTATGTCTTTTTTGAGAAATGTCTGTTCAGGTCTTTTGCCTGTTTTTTTTTTTTTTTCTCTTAAAAGATGACCAGTAAGGGGATCTTAACCCTTGACTTGGTGTTATCAGCCCCACGCTCTCCCAAGTGAGCCACGGGCTGGCCCTTCTTTTGCCTGTTTTTAAATTAGGTTATTTGTCTCTTTTTTGCTATTGACTTGTTGAGTTTTTTATATATTCTGGATATTAGCCCCTTGTCTGATGTGTAGTTTGCAAATACTTTTTCCCATTCTATAGGTTGTCTCCTCACTTTGTTGATTGTGTCCTTTGCTGTGCAGCAGCTTTTTAGTTTGATGTAGTCACATTTGTCTACTTTTGCTTTAATTTCTGCCTTTGTAGTCTTGTTAAAAAAAAAACACCAAAAAACCCCAAAAAACTGCCGATTCCCAATCCCATTTCATGTAGCGTTTCCCCAACATTTTCTTCTGGTAGTTTCATAGTTTCAGGTCTT